AAAACCCCCACAAAAAAAAGAAGGAAAACATAAAAAAGTAAACTAACCTATCCTTCCAACCCCAAAGCACATATACACCCTTGTTTGATGTCAAACAGTTCTTTATTCACCCTTTAAAAAATTGAGATTACTAGCTATCAATTTCATCTCCACAAACGTACCAAACCCCCTACCCCCACCCACCGCACAGCCAAACTAAAAAACACCCTGCCAAAACACCCGCGGAAAAATAAGGAACATTCTGATTTGATATTACTGTCATGTTCCTTCTCAAGAAATAAGAAAGTTCTCTTCTTTTAAATCTATACAAACAGACCCACAAACACATTCATAAGTATGCTTCCATATGTTGCCGAAGGCATATGATGAGGCAAACAACTTTCTTTAAGTTCAATTAACGTGAGATGGGAGAGCTTGCCACATATCATTTAATACTGGATGTGTGCTATTGTTATATATCTCAGGGCTGGAGGAAATTACTGTTGATAGAAACCAGAAGGCATACATACATTTGAACTCAAGCATATTACATTATGTATAACAAAGAGATGTCAATATCAGCTTCACCTTATTTTGCATTTCAGCTTCACCTTATTTTGCCTAACCCACAAGTCAGTTAAAGAAAACATAGGTATGTTTCAAGACAAAACAATTTATAACCATGAAATGGAGGTTTTGACACACAGTGCAAATGAAAATGTGACATATAGTACTTATAAAGGAAATGACTGAAAAACTCCTCACTAAGTCACTATGGTGCAGCATAGAGCCAATAATAGTGACATTGTTTTGTCCATAAGTAAAGATGGTTCTTCTTGTGTTTCCACAGGCTATGTCAATTTATGAATAGATCTTTGTAGTGAAATCGTAATAATATTCTAATTTACCTCAAAAATTTTATTACTACCTCAAAAAATAATGTTGTCAAACATAATAAGTCAATACAAATTTAGAAAAAAGGTTCATTTGAACAAACACCACAATCTGAAATGAATGAACATACAGAAAATGGAGTGATTAAAGCTTGTAGGTTGCCCAACTACAAGAAAAGCGAAAACAATTAAGGGACTTTCAATAACCACTTAAATATTGCAAGTCTCCTCTCGACAGGCTCACGCACATTTACTTTCTAGTTGACTCGCAATAAAGTACTGTGTTTACAAAATACTCTTCTTAAACTGCTATAATGTGTTCAAGTGCACTAAGAGCAGGGATGATCCATAATCATAGAAAAAGCTTTTAGAGCAAGGTCAAGTTTTTGACTCCATCACTTATACAACACTTATTTCAAGTTATAAGCAATAGGCATTCTTCTAGTTAACTACTAAGAGTAAACAATGAAGGTAACTTGCCAGCAGCAATTGTTGCCTGATGGACCACCTCATCAATTTCGTCAGTAGTAACTCCAGGTTGAATCTTACGTGCAGCTGCATCTAAGACCTCCCTTGCAATCTGAATATCATAAAGATGGTTAATACACAAATGTTACAAAAATCTGATAATAATAGACCAATTTCATTAACACTCGTTTGCTTCACATGTGCATGATGACGAAGTAGCAGGATGCCCATGTCAACCATACCCAAGCCTAAACCCTTTCACTGACACGTGAACACTCTCAGTATAGCATTGTCGTCAATCATTGAAACGTAACAATTTGTTTGTATGCGATGTTCTGAATTGGTAGACCAGACATTCTTGGTGGATGAGTTAAAGCATTTCTTATATCTACCAAATCGCACCTTCGATACGTTTAGAAAAAATCACAGAGAAGCAACACATGTTCTTTCATGCGCATGGGGATGAACGATAAGAACAGCACCAGACTTAACCTATACAGCTTGATTAACAAAGTGCAGCAGATATTCTAGAAGTGAACTTGCTGAGGCACTTAACATGGAAAGTTCAAAGGATTGCATTTGAAAGAAAAAATTACAATTCAACTCATGAATGACAGATTCTTATTACTCACCGTGAGACGGTTGATGAAGGTCAATTCCATTATAGGCCAAACAACAACAGGCACAAGGTATAACTTCTTGGGCTATCATTTTCAGCAATACTAGCTAGTGGAACATTGTGTCCACCTTGAAACATATGTTGATAGTAAAACTTACAGCAAAGAGCAACTATCATTGTCCATGATATGATTTTCCACATTTTTCCTTTAAACTCATTTCATTCATGTCAAATGCAATAAGAACAAAATAGAAGTGGCCTTGTAAAGGTGTAGGAAATTAAAAAAAAAAACGATGAGTTACATTTGTATATTCTTCAACCTGAACATAGGAGACCCTAAGATAGAACCAAACTTGCATCAATGCTAGGACCCATAGGTACTGTTGAAAATATGACTGGCTTAAGATGCTTGAAAGAAATATATAAAGTGGGGAAGTCATACAACATGATTTTCCTCTTGAAGCTTGCAACTTGTTAATGTTCTGGCGATGTTGGCCTAGAATGATTACCTAAGTTATCTAACAATTCTCTAGTTGGAAATGCCCAAAATAAACAATAAGCATTTCAACACTAAGTGCAAAAGAATACTAATTTATTGTTGTTGAATAGAACTTATTTGCCACAATAATAATACTACAGGAGTAAATTAACAAAGAATAACAAAAAATAAATCCATTCCTTTCCAGTTAGATTTAAACCTTGGATCAACAACAAATCACTATCTATATGCATTAGTTACTGATGAACTTTTTAGCATGTTCATGATGAAGTTCCATTACACGTGTCGTGTCGATATTGTACATTACTAGTAGATGAGAGGGATAGTTTCAAGATAGATCAGGGCAACTCTAGAATCTAAAGGACTTGTAATTTGCAAAATAAAACTGCAATATATGGAATGTAACTTAAGCAAATAACTTTAAACGACCATTACACTGCCACTTTTTATGAGGAAAAAGAAAGAAAGTAATTTCAGGCCAATTTATCTGACAACGATAGCAATTGACTTCAGAATAAGGAAAATGATATCTTGCAACAAAAAGTCAATGCAGCATATCAGTTAACTTACTCGACATGTTTCTCTCATTCTTTCAATCTGCTCCGGAGTTTTGATCTTCAGAAGTAATAATGCCAAGAGTAAGTCAACTTGTCCGCAGAAATAACCCTTTCAAAAATCTAATGAAATCTAATCAACTAAAAACTATACAGGCCTTACCTCCACTCTGCTCTGCAAATCACTGTTGGGCTCAATCTTGGGAATCCCCTGCCAGTATATTATATTTACAACACAGTAAAAATTTGTTCCTTATGTCATTAAACAAAAAGATTATAGCAACAGGGAGGAAAAGAGAGTACAGCGGAAAGAATTTGTATTGCAAATTAAGTATGTTGAAATGGTCCAATTTCAAACAAAAATGGATGAAACTGAGCTCTATATGTGTAAAAATTATATATAGGGATTAGCTGATTACTTTATACAGGTAAATATTCAACAAAGGTATTGCCTAAAATTAACAAAAAAAGAATACTTATTTCTTTATTTTAGCTTATTTAACAAAAGATTAATGACTAAATCACAACTCAAATTTGGAACGTGTCAAAAAAACTAGTCCTATGAAAATGCTAAAAATGATATCAAAATATCCCTTTGTTTCTAAATGCTTTTGTTTAAAATATGCATAAAAACCGTTACTTTATTATTTAAATGCTGGAAATTATGAATGGCGTTTGCAGTAATGTCAATAATGTTCAGTCGAGTTACAACAGTTTGTAAATGCAACAAGCCATAGACTGTAAGCAACTCATTTACTTAGCTTTCAAGTTCTGTCACTGGAATGATCTTTGATCAGGGGAACACTCGTTTTATAGTCAATCTTAATGTCAGCTCAAAACAAAAAGACACAAATAATGAAGTCGAATCAAAGGAATATGACAATCCGTTTAATATTCCTAACTCTACACAATGAAAATCTACCTCATTAATGAAGCAGAATAAAACTGAAGTGAGAGTATAACATCCTAGCTAAGTATAATGGAACACGTAAGAAAGAGATTCCTTCTCCTTTTCTTCCTCTATGTCTCCCCACATATCTTGTTTAAGATATGATCGACCTATAAGAATTATTCCACTTCATTCATGTGTAACCAAGAATACAAAGAAAAGATAGATGAACATACAAAACATTAGATAAACATAACAAATGTAAAATGCAAGAGATATTACAGCCTGATTTCAGTCTGCTATGTTATTCCTCATAAGATGCATAGGTTCCTGGATAACACATGACAAAGCATATGAATCGTATAAAAATATATGGAGCCATACCGCTATTATATTACAACATTCTGATATATGATACATTTTATGCATAAACAACTGTATTAAACCTGCAAAATGCATGAAATTCCATTTGTAGAAACAAGAGGGAAAAAAGACTAGCAAGTAGCAACTATGTCTTGTCAATTTCCCCAAACATCTTACTACAAACTGAAAGCACTAAATTTGATTTATGTGGCTTACATCAAAGGCCCAATCAGGCTTTTCAATCTCATCAGGAACCTTCCGCGTCTGCGATATTGGATATGGTCTTAATGAACTGCAAAGGATAAAGTTGCGCATATTTAGGTCAATTATTACACCACACGAGTCTCATTACACATAACTACATACGCTTGAAAGTTGAAACACGCTTCCCTTTTCAGTAAGCTAAGCAGTGACATGCAGATATAGCTACATTTACTAATCACAAAGAAATTAACACCATACAGGAGAATTTTGCAGTTGCATTCACATGATGATATGTTTTCTTTAAGGGTCTGTTTGTTTGCCTAAAAAAAGTGGGAAATCAAAGAAATAGAAAACTATTTCTAAGAAGAATTGTTTTGGGAGTGTTTGGTTTGCTAAAAAAAAGAAGGAAATCAAAGAAATGGAGATGAGATGAGATGAGTTGCCATCTTATTATAGGATGATGTGAGTGATTAAGAAAACTTGTTTTGATGTTGTTTGGTTGGCGAAAAAAATAAGGAAATGAATTATAAGAAACCTATTTCTTGTAATAGGTTGTTTTCTTTTGTTTGGTTTATTCTTAAAAATAAGAAAATAGATGAGATGTGATGAGTTGTCATTATATTATTGGATGATGTGTCCCACACTTAAGGAAATTGTTTTCCTAACTTTTTGGGAGGAAATGGGTGGAAATGAAATGTTAATGACATGAGATGAGTTGTCACCATCTTATTGGATGATGTGAGTGATTTGAAATAATGAGATGAGATAAGTTGAGTGATGTTGTGGATGAAAATAATATTTTATTAGATGTGGTGGATGTGATGGATGAGTTGTTGGATGAAAATATTTTTTTATTAGATGTGGTGGATGAGTTGTTGGATGAAAATAATTTTTTATTAGATGTGGTGGATGAGTTGTTGGATAAAAATAATATTTTATTAGATGTTGTGGGTGGGTTTTAGGGATGGAAATGGATGAAATTGTACTTTTTGAGTTTTTTTGGTTTTCATTTCTATTTCTTGGTTTTTTGGAAATAACCAAACAGGCCCTAAAACCAAAACACAGCCATATGTGATACAGTATGTCTGCCATGAACTGCATCATGTCAGAAAGTTTAAACCTCTTAATCCAGACCATTGAAGTTTGCAGTAAATGGATATAGCAAATTTCCTTCAAGAGTGCAATCGTACCAAGTATGAGAAATAGATATGACAAATTGAGATAGAAAATGGAAAGGTTTGTTACAGACCACAATGGCCATTTTTATTTCTACTCCGGATATTCAGTGCCACAAATGACAGGTAAAGATAGTTCAAATGATCTAAGAGCTTATATCATGAGAAATCATCGTCAATAAGCATATGAATTACAAAGCTTGTTGAATATCTAAACAGCAGAAATCCACTGAAAAGTAAATGTTAACCATCTATGTTACTTCAGATGAGAATCTAAGACTCAAATCTCTTCTATGGCAGCATTAAACATCGAGTGTGAGGTATCGACCGTAGTAACCCTTAACCTCAAATAGAAAACGAACAAATGTCCAACTCACTACACTCATCGAGCAAGATTCGGCTGCTTCCACTAAATCACATCATGATGGTGCTTTTAATCCTGATTTCCAGCCCACCTTCTAACTTTTAAAATACTTGTTCTGGCATCAGAAAAAGCAGAACTCCATTCCCCAATGTAAAGAGGAGTTTAGACCCTCTTTTAGTTTTTTTTCCCCTTTATTTTGTCCTTTTTTTTCCTTAGTGTGTGTGGCTAGTGCTATGACAGATGTCTTCAACAATCTTCCCAGTAATGTAAGGGCATGAGAAAAGCTGGTAGCGTGAAGCCAAAAGAATTGAGAAACCTCTAAATGGCATCTGAAAGAATAATCTAAGTTTTCACATAAATTTGCAGTTTGCAAAATCGGAAGATTCATCGTTCAATCTAGGCCTCAACTGCATGTCCAGATCACTACTGGTGTGCAATTATTGATATTGCTCATCATTATGATTTATGCTGCGTAAACATTGAGTGAAAGGTGTTAGCAGGGGTAAAATCTTGATATTGACTCTCAAATGGAAAATGAAAAACTTTTCAACTCCTTCCATTCATCTTGCAAGATTTGAGTGGGTTTCACTTAATCGCATATGAAGGTGTTGCTAATTCTTATTTTCCGCACCCCTCCTCACTTTTAAAATCCTCCAAGCAGAGCGTCATTCCCCTAGGAAAAGAGGAGTTCAGACCTCTCTAGTCTTTTTCCCTTTATTTGTCCTTCCTTTTTCACGATTAATGTGTGAGTGGTGCTATCAAGAATCAAGATGTCCTCAAACTTAAAACACAAGCCTACAATTTGATAGCAATCTTCCCGGTCACATATAATGGGCATGAAAACTGGTAACATCACACCAAAATAATTTAGAAAGCTTCCTAATAGCATCTGCAAGAACGACTTAATTTTTTACATAAATCTGCAAAATCAGAAGACTTCCATCGTTCAATCTAGGCCTCAACTACATGTCCTGGTTGCTACTGGTGTGCAATGATTGATGTTGCTAATGATCTACGTTGCACGGGTGCAGGTGCAGATACAGATAAGGGACATTACAAATTTGTAAAAGGTAGGGTACAAGGACACAACTGAAACTCACGGGATATAATCATAGTTCTGAGCTATTTTTGTAAACAATCCGTTTAATTCATAGTTCTTAAGGCTGAAACAAACTCAATCCTTATCCTAAAAGTTACAAAAGTGGATGTGAAGTGTCGGATACATCCGAGAAGTGTATGATGAGTGTTTTAAATTAAGCACACACTGTATACTTGAGTACATGTCTAAACAAATATATGCATGTATTTAAGGAGTGTTCAAGAAGCATCGGGTACGACACATGTCGGGTACGGGTACGGATCCATATTAGGGGTATCCAGGTAATATAGCTAACGATTATGAGGTATGCTTCTTAAACAACCAATTCTCCTTGTTTACTTGCCCACAGCACCTGTGCTCAAGTGACAAGAAGTAACCTTATGAGGTAAGCAAAAAATAAAAAAATAAAGAACATTTGCCTCTCAGAAACAGCATGAAAGCTTCTCTTCGCAAACTTAGTTTAAGTAACTATACCATAGATCTTTTCAAACTGTTTATACTTTATACAAAAGCAGAACCTCCATTTGTTTCAAACCTACTGAGCACTAGGAAAAAAATAATGTTTGACCCAGAGGAAGCGACTGCGGAAAAGTATACTAGATAATGACGTGATCAAGCTTCTATACGTAGCAGTTGTGAAATAAAAGCATGTAATCAGTCCTAAAACCTGAATCTGCATGCTTCCAAGCTTCAGTAGGCACCAAAGTGTATAAAGATAAAAGAGTCAAAGAGTGAATCCTTCCTAAAGACACATATAACGACCATATTTCCTATGTGATGACTGATTGAATTTCACAATTTACTACTGTTTGTAAAATAAAATTCATACACATATTGCTCATCTGAACTCAGATTACATGACCTCAGGATGAATCCAGTGGATGGTTACATACAGAAACAGCATATAAGCTATTTGACTAAACAAAAAGAAAAACCAATAGTACAAGCGACAACGAGCTAGCAGCTAATAAAATGACAATTTAAATGCATACCCTGTCCAATCAAAATGAGGAATTACAGATGTTCGAGTCTGGCCTTTCTTTAAGCAATACAACCAACCCTCCTGCGAATGTTCGGATGATGTATTTGCTTTACCAGTTGCTAAATTTGACTTCACATGCACTGATTTATGAGAGCTCCAAGATGCCTTAAAACAATCCTGTGAGCTGCACAGCGAGAGAGTTAATAAGAATAGCAATTGCATAGGATACCACTAGCGCCAGAAACAACAGTAAAACCTTTATCTCAAAAATTTCAGGTTTGTTACATGGATCATGTTTCTTCATTCAGTCCTGTTAAGGGCTCTGTCCTTTATCACGCACGGTACTAAATTGTAAACCCAATTTACAAAAGCAAGCGAAAAAAGGAGAAAATTATTTTGAAACAAAATGAAACCTGATAATTAGTCCAGGACGAACCAAATGTCTAAAAGTAACAGTTCTAGCTAGGAACAAATCCATTAGCAAGCAGCTAGAACCAATGGCCAAATTGTAAATGAACAATCTACATGAAAGTTGTGCTATTAAATAGTAAAAGAACTACAAACATGTGTAAACATTGAAATTGAATCAATTTCAGCCAGGACCACACAAGTTACGCCCATAATACTCACTACTCGGCCCATAAACAACTAGATATTTTCCTCGTGTTACAAGATTCAGATGGACGCAACTTTCACTGTACTAGGGAAATTGAATTCTTCCAGCTTCTTTTTCAAATCTACTCGGTGCAAACTTGCACCTGCCAGCTTATGCCCTAGAATTGTGAATATTCCAGTGAGCTTTTGACATGCTAAGATCAGGGTTTAAGATAAATGATTCACTGCTGTAAGTGCTTTCAAAAAAAAAGTGCTGTAGGTACCTAAGCATATAAAAGTGTAGTTATGTAAGCATCAGAACTCATGCTGCTTACTAAGTATCCAATTGCAAGATTAATTAGCTAGAGTCTGTTTTGTTAGTTAATATAGAAAAAGCATATAATAGTCGACAACTGTTTAGCGAATAATTAGGGATTAAATGCAATTGACGACTCCATCCTTCTTCTATAATTCCCACCCTACCTTAAAACTTAAAAAGAATGTACTTGTATAAATAAAAAAGGTGATATACTTTGCAAAAGAAGTAATATATAATAAATAAAAGAAAAGAAGCATACCAAAAAACAGCACCTTCACGAGGTAATCCTAGTTGCAAACACTTGGGACACCTGCGCACAAGCATGATTGCATAAATGGGACAGACAGCTAAACAAATTCCTTTAAAAGAGAATATTAGAACAGATGTTTTAGGCATTAAAAAAAGATATATCTAAAACAGGTATAAAATGAGGAAATACAATGCCTCCTTCCGACGAATCATCGATATAACCGAGACAATTGTAGTGAATGCAGCTATATTGAGGGCGCTCTTATTGCCAACAAAATAGCATAGACGACATTTTTCCTTCACTTGTGGCTGCAACAGGGAAAAGGAAAAAAGATTGCGCCCTCCACATGCCTCATCCACTTGCTTTCTTTTTGGTGTCCCGCGATTGGATGATGCTCTTTACCAGCAGGTTGTAATTTTTTGTGCTCCAAGATTGGATTTTGATGGTTATGTTGATTGCTTGCTATTTGGTTATTAGTAGATTCGATTTCCTGATTATCTTTATTAGTTAATTGCTCTCAATTTAGCTCACACTTCATGTTTCAAGTGATATGGACGATGTTAATTTACCAAAAGTTTATTCTCTTTGACGCTTGTGGCTGTGGGTATTGCCTACTGTAAATCACCAAACAAGTTTCAAATTTTTGTGCGTTAAAAATTCTGTCATGGCACTGAAATCGAGTGTTCATAAAGAAGAGTCATTAAAACGTTCTCCTATTTTATCTAAAGCCGATGCTAACTACTGAGGAGGATTCAAATTGATCATCAAGGACAAAAACGAAAGAAAATAAGAAGGATAACTTACTGAAGATTCGAAGGATTGCCGCAACGAGCACAGGAGTACGAAGATTCCATTCTCAACGAGAATCGAACTGAAACCTCGAGAACTGGAGGCCTATGTATCCAGATGAAAGCGCCAAAATTTGATCTTGGGATGGATTTCGGCGAGATTCAGAGGAACTAGGGTTTTGGGGAGGGAGAGGAAGGAGCAAAGTCTTTAAATAAGTTAATAAATAAATTAAGTAAAAGAAGAAATTATTTATATAACAATTTAGAGTGAAAAACAACTTGGACTAGGCCAAAGTTTGGGAGAAAGTACCCTCTCAGAGCATCTCCAACAGCTTTACCATAATCTATTTCTTTATACAAATAGGAGGATCAGAGATTCACTATTCACACTACAGTAAATGCTACGATAACATTTACTGTAGCATTATTACTGCAGATAATAATTAATTAAAAATAACACTGTAGCGCACGGTACACTGTAGCATTTAAAAGGTACTGTAGCGGAGCGGGGTACTGTAGCACTTTCAAAAATTCAAATCATGCCATATTAAAAAAGCGGGATTACTGTAGCAAAAAATACCGTGCTTTGCACGGACCGCAAACTAGTTTATCTAAAATAAAGAAGCAAAATGTCAAATTCTCTAAAAAAAATTGCTCCAAATCCAACAGCTTCCCCATTTTAGGGATTTAGGCATTTATTACAACTATAAAACATCCTACATACTCAATAATAATTACGAAAATAAATGTTTGATATTTTATTATAACAATATACAACTCAATAAAGTATTAGATTTTTTTTCTTTGGAGAATGTGAGATATATGATAATGTTACTTTCAAGAATTTTTGCAGAATGCTACAGATTTGGAGAAAGACCCTCTTTTTTTCTTCTTCATCCCCATTTTAGGGAATGAGATGGAGAAACTGTTGGACCTAAAATATAGCTCTATATTCCTCAAAATTAAGTTTTTTAAGAAGATGGGGGAAGCTGTTGGAGATGCTCTAAGGACTGTTGAGGACGGTCACGATTAATTGTGCGCTTAAAGAATGTCAATCGTTGGATTTGGATATAAATCTCAAAATCTAATGATCACTGTTGATATTACTTAGATGTATATTTAATGTTTATGAACTCGGATGTATTTGATACTTTTTTATTGTTAGAATTTTTTAATCTGATTTTGTAATATGTTAAAGTACTTAACTCATATTGAGTATAAATTAAAATGCATATTAACTTGGCAGGTAAATTACTAGAGTTATATGCAAAGACAAAGTGGTATAAACGAGAATATACTGCCACTTACAAAACATGTAATATTGTACTATTTTCTTAATACCATACGGTGTATCTATTTTAACTAATGAGTTAATAACAATTAGTAAATGAATAAGTGAGATGTAATCAATGTTTTGCTTGTGGTGGTGGTACGTTGGGTCAAGGGGCGTGATGAAAAGTTACTGTAACTACAGTAATCATCTACTCGCTATAGTAATCACCAACCGCAGACCCACTAAATATTACTGTAGCAACAATGTAGCAACAGTTCGCACCTACCACAAACTCACCTATATATAACTCTCTCTGGCGATAAGTTCTGATCATCCCAGTATCTCCAATTAAGAGTGAAAAGAGAGAGAGAGAACTCTCTCTGGCGATAAGTTCTGATCATCCCAGTATCTCCAATTAAGAGTGAAAAGAGAGAGAGAGAGAGAGAGAGAGAGAGAGAGAGAGAGAGAGAGAGAGAGTCTCTCTGGCGATAAGTTCTGATCATCCCAGTATCTCCAATTAAGAGTGAAAAGAGAGAGAGAGAACTCTCTCTGGCGATAAGTTCTGATCATCCCAGTATCTCCAATTAAGAGTGAAAAGAGAGAGAGAGAGAGAGAGAGAGAGAGAGAGAGAGTTTATCCTTTAAGAAGAGAGATTGTAACTCTTAAATTTTCTTCATAGTGAATTCTTCTATTCTTGCTCGTGGTTTTTACCCCGAATTCATTTAGAGGGTTTTTTCACGTAAATATGTGTGTTCATTTCATTACTTCTGCTCTACTATTCGCTGGGACCTTGCTCTATTAGGCCTCGGGTTTGTCCTAACAAGTGGTATCAGAGACTGACTTAGGATACGTGTATCTACTTATCATATGCTCTGTGGCTGCCACCAAAGGTGAATTCTCCACATCAGAAAATAAGTTAGATTATCATTTACCATTTGAAGGCGATGGGCACTATTCAAGAGTACAGTATTGTTCATAAATACGATATTGTTCACAACTATGGTACTATTCACGAATACGATTACTGTTTATAAATACGGTTATTGTTTACGTGAAATAGTAAGAAGCTACTGATCATGGTAGTGACAATGACGACAAAGTTCGAGATCGAGAAATTCAATAGGAGTAATTTCTCACTGTGAAAGTTGAAGATAAAGACTATCTTGAGAAAATATAATTACCTAGCGGCCATCGGTGCAAGGCCAGATGACATCACGAATGATAAGAAGTAAAATGAGATGGACGGAAATGATATTGCTAATCTCCATCTGGCAGTAGCAGATGGGGTGCAGTCAAGCAGAGAGGAGAAGAAGACATCAAAGGAGATCTGAGATACTCCAACGAAACTATATGAGGTAACTCAATGCGCAATAAAAATCTTCTTAAAAATGAGACTTTACACTCTGAGGATAGCAGAATCTACATCAATGACCGACCACATCAACACCCTAAACACAATGTTCTCCTAACTCACAACGTTGGGGCATGCAAGCGGTACGTGCAGAGCTTCTACTCCAGAGTCTATCTGACTCGTATGATCATCTCATCATCAATCTCACAAAATAACGTCCTTACGGACAATCTAGTCTTCGATAACGTTGCAGCCGCTATTCTGGAGGAAGAAAGTCAGCGCAAAAATAAGAAAGACATGCAGGCAAGTTCGCAACAAGCGGAGGCCTTATCGATGACGAGAGGAAGATCAACGGAACATGACTCCAGTAGAGTCATACACATGGTAGATCAAAATCAAGAAGTAAGAAGAATGTTAAATACTACAACTGTGGTAAAATGGGGCACGTGAAATTGGAGTGTTTGCACAATAAGAAGAGTGATGATAAAAAGTCTTTAGAGCTATCAACATCTCAAGGATGCGTTGCCAGCACATCTGACAATGGTAAAATTTTATACAATGGAACAATCACTGTTGATGAAGGCAGAAAGATGTTTGCTGATGTCTGGCTTTTAGATTCAGCAGCCTCCTGACATATGACCTCCCAGAGAGAATGGTTTTACAAATATGAACCTATCTCTGGAGGATCTGTATTCATGGGCAATGATCATGTCTTGGATATTTCTGGTATTGGCACTATCAAAATCAAAATGTTTGATGGTACAATACGCACCATTCAAGATGTGCGATATGTGAAAGACTTGAAGAAGAATCTATTGTTTTTAGGATAATTAGATAAGCTCGAGTGAAAACCCATATAGAAAATGGGATCATGAAGATTGTTAGAGGGGCGCTTGTTGTGATAAAGGGAGAAAGGATAGCTGCAAATCTATATATGCTCAAGAGAGAAACCCTACAGGAAGTTGATTCATGTGTGGCATCAACTAGCCATGGAGAAGAACAAATCATGATGTAGCATTGCAAACTAGGCCACATGTCAGAACGAGGCTTGAAGATTCTCTCCAATCAGAAGCTGCTTCCTGGATTTAATTTGGTAGCTCTTCCATTCTACGAGCATTGTGTTAAAAGTAAGCAACATCAGTTGAAGTTCAACACATTGAGTTCTAGAAGCAAGATTATTCTGAAACTAGTTCATTCTGATGCATTGCAAGCATCAGTTACATCCATGGGAGAAGCAAAGTACTTTGTATTCTTTATTTATGATTACTCCAAGAGATATTAGGTGTATCCTATCAAGAAAAAGACGGATGTGTTCTCAATCTTTAAAGTCTGCAAATCGCGAGTCGAGATTGAATCTGAAAAGAAAATTAAGTGCTTGAGGCAGATAATGGAGGAGAATATACAGACGGTGAATTTCTTGCATTCTGCAAGCAATAAGGCATCAAAAGACAATTCAGTACTGTTTATACTCCTTAACAAAATGGAGTAGTGGAGCGGATGAAAAGAACTCTGTTGGAAAGAACAAGAGTAATGTTGGTAACTGCAAATCTGGATAAAGTCTTTTGGGCGAAAGCAGTAAAAACCGCCTATTATATGGTGAATTAATCTCCATCAACTGTAATACAGTTAAAGACGCCGATGGAGATGTGGACCGGCAAGCCAGTTTATTATTCCAACCTTCATATATTTGAAAGTCTAATGCACGTAATGTACAATATCCAAGAAATTACAAAGCTAGATTTAAATGTAGAAAATGCATATTCTTAGGGTATGCTGACGGAGTTAAGGGGTACCGCTTGTGGAATCCCACTACCCGTAAGGTTATCGTCAGCAGAGATATTGTCTTTATAGAGAACTAACTACAAAGTGAATGTTTTCGTCAAAAGTTGCTCTCGTTGTGGAATTCATTATATCTTCGGTCGATTACAACAAATTCAAAAGAGATAGTCTTTTTATAAGACTTCTTTTACACAACAAAATAAAAATTATAACTTTTTAGAAACAAACGCAGGATCGTTGTTTGGATCGCTGCTTGCGTGGGATCTTTGCCTGTGCCGGGAGCGCTTTGGCTCGTGGACCACCAAATCACAGATTCTGATTAAATCGTGAGGGGTTTAGTGATTCTTCCTTCGTTTATCGAAGTGAGAATTTGAAACGATATCTTATCAAAGTAAGATAGTCGTTCTTCTTGAAATCAAGTCAAAGCTCGAATCTCAAGGAATTGCCAGAAGCTTAGGAACTCTGCTCTGTCTGCTCCAAAGTGCTCAAGAATGATCAGCCCCCCAAACAAATGATCACAGGGGGGTATTTATAACCCCTGGACAAATAACCACTTCCGAGACAGTGTTTGCTGTCTCGGCGGGGGGGGCAGCAAAGACTGTCTCGGGTTCCGAGACAGTAAACACTGTCTCGGACGGTCTATGTCTGTCTCGCGTGCGAGACGGTCTATGTCCTTTTTTTCTGACTTTTTGGATGAATTCCTTCTTTGAGCTGTATTTGGATATCTTTTGGTATTTTTTAACGTCTACAGATACCCCCTCCAAAGTATTCCAGACTCATTCTTTTATAGAGGAGTCTGGGATACTTTGGATAAGAC